TCAGGTTGGTAGACTATTATAAGACCTTAAGAAATGAAATAAAATTGACTGGAGCCAAGGGGGGCTTCACAGCCTGGCTCGTCATCTCTCACAGCCATCCCGAGAATTCAAAATATAACTGTCACGGACTTACAAGACTGCTTCTCCACCGTACCTCCTCACCCGAAAGAGTGTCAGCATTTTGCTTTTAGCTTGCCTTCTAACCCTGACAAGATGGAGGTCAAAGTTGACATGCAGAGCAGGAAATGTGAGTTCTGTTTATCCAGGACTCAATTATTGGGCAGAGTTCTTCATTTTATATATATATATATGTTCAGAACTGTCAATTATAGTTTCCTTACCATCCCCCAATTGAATAATAATATATATATGTATGTACATATATATTGCAATACATTTATTGCACAGGTGATATTATATTTATATCAAACTATAAAACTTATGAGTCTATAGATTGGCAGATAGGTCTATAGGATATATTGGCACTTTCTCATGTGTGTCCAACAATTACAAATTCTCTCCCTATGGAAGCTCACCCATGAGGCCTATGTCCTTATTATTTATGGCTATGAAATAAGAAATAATACACCATTTATTCCACTGCTTTTCAATTTTAGGAAGGCCTAGAGTTCATAACTGGACAAAGACTTTACATATACTTTAAGAGCTCTTAAGAATTGGTGCTTAACTTTTCATATCTTCCACTACAGCATTCCTTATTAGGCCCAGATCAAGCCACAAAGTTCACCTAGGCCTCTATGACCTTCTCATTGGTGTTTGAAAAGGTCCTGATGTTTTCACAACATCAGGGAGAGGATATGCTTACACGTCTTCACAGGATATTGACCTCCCTTTATGAATGCTGGATCTCCTGGTCACACCATATACTAGGCAGCTGCAGCACAAAGGTGCTCTAAAGCTGCCAGTCTGATTACAGGCTGTTATTTACCTCTAGATTCTTAAATATTGGGCTTTGAGTTTATGAATAAATTGATACAGTTCCAGATCCTTCTGATGAACTGTTCACCAATGATATCAAAACTTATAGGAATATGATTAGAAATAATAATTCTGTCCTAAATGTATTTTTATTAATTTTGATCAAATGATAAAAAAGATTTGAAATATATATAAACGACACATTTCAGGTTTCATTCTCTGGCTACCCTGATGTTTTGTTGAGACTCTGAGGATTCATAGTTTTGCTCTGACAAAATTCACCACTGTTATCATATTGCTGATATGTCTAAAGATTTTGTCTTTTTAAGAAGGTTCGTAAAAGCTTCAGAAGATCAAAATTCACCAATGCTCACAAGTCAAGAAGGACTGGGGGAAATATAACCTGACTACAGTTTATTTCTCCCACTTCCAATTTTTTTTCCTCTGGGGGGAGGCTTTCCCTCTCTCCCTGGGCTGATATCCCCTTCTCTCATCTGCTAAAACCATGTATTTAATATTCCATAGGTACACCTAAGAGAAAAAGCTTCCTCCTTAACTGCATGCTCTACCATTAATACATATATTTGTTTCCAGCAGACTTTCTAATCATTTAAAGAGTTACAGGTTGTCATTCTCTGGACCATGGGCATGCTGGCTAGCTGCAGGTCTGCATCCTGCCTTCCAGCCCACATGGAGGTGCTGTCCGGCTCAGCCCTGTGCCCCACCCTCCAGCCCATGAGACAGGAAATCCTACTACACTACATGTCTCACAGAGACTGAAACAGCCTGCGCTTCCTGGGTTGCCACTGTATTCCAGCCCTAAGGACCTTTAGCTTTGCTCCCATCTCAGCAGGAAGTAACCATGAACGATTTCTACAGCCCCTTCTCACTTACCCCTTTCCATACTGAACTCTCCAGCCCAGGGGCTGGACTGCCCTTAAAAATGCTCTATTATTAATTGTATAAACTCTGCCCATGATCGTGAAATGTATACACTATCAGACATTCTCCTCATGTACTTCTGACAATTTTCTGTATGTAAGTCTTGTTATGTATATCCTGACACAGGTTATTACATTCCTTTCATAGCTATATGGGTTAATATTGACTTGATTACAATTTTAAATTATTAGGTCAGCTTCAACTGCAGCCTTGGTCCCACAGATGCTCATGACTAACTCAGGTAACTCTTTATCTAACAATGTCTCTTTAAAATACAGTTTAACCAAATTAATACCACTAATCAGAGATTAATAGATGGAGTCAATGTTCCAAACTAGCCATTTCCTTTTGATAAGTCAGAATCATAGTATTTAGACACATTTGACCATATTATGCTATACTAGTTAATGGTAGATTTTTAGGTTACTCCTCGGCTCCCTTATGAGGACAGAGATATTCTAACTATATACAACTATATTTATTAGATGGTTAAAGTAATTCTCAGCCTGCCATCTATATAGGCTTTTGATTATATATTTTATTGATATTAATATTGATTAAATATTAATATTAATTAACTACTACTTTTTATTTTTCAAGTCATCTCCAAACTTAATATTTATCCACATTATTCGATGACCTAGAGAGAATTAAACATCCTTTCTTTACTAAACTAAAAAACCGGAACTGCTGAAACCCTGTCTGAAAAACCAAAAAAGAAGTCTTGGTGATATTTTAGCTTTTGTATCTGTATTAGCTGATTCCTACAATGATTTTTTTTTTGTATGCTATATGTGGTTCAAAGAACTCCTAACAGTGTATTTATCTAAAATGCCTATCAAGCATCCAAGGCCAAATGATCTCCTGAGCTAAGGTAACACCCTATTGGAAACACCGCCTGTCTCCTAGGTCAAGTGGATAAAAGATAGCTTTATTTCTTGTTCCATTTAAGCTGAGACCCTCCTTCCTTATACAGCCTTACTAACATTAAAGACTCCTAACATTTTTACCTAACCACTTCTAGGAATGTAGATTGAGCACATAAGTTCCCTTTTTGATATACTAACCGATCATTAGCTCTCAGTTGACCTCCTCCTTTACCACTTCCCTTTGGGTTGTCAAAGAAAACCTGATGGTCACTGCCTGAGGAAAACTCTTGTCTGCCTTCATGACCCTGTAAGAATTCAAGCCTGGTGACCTTGCTTGGCCAGAGGATTGCTGTTGCTTGGTTTTCTAACTCAATAACTGAGAGATGATGGATGAAGAGGTATAAGGAAACCTAGAAGAGGAATTGGGCGAGGACTTGAGGATGAGACGGAGGAGAGAAAAGAGAATGGGAGAGCTAGATGGGTAAGAACTGGAGAGGAACGTACTGAGATGGGGAAGAACTAGATTGAAGGGTGAGAAGAGAGTGCTAGAGGAACAAGATGGAAGATGAGGAAGAGCCAGATGGGGAAGAGCAAGATGAGAAAGAAGGAGATGGGAGAGGAGTTGAGATGGGAAAGAAATAGATGGACGAGAACCTAGATGGGGTGGAACTAAGGTGAGAGAATTAAGTTAGAACTTAGAGGTGACAGCAGATAGTCAGGCAAGAAAGGAGCTAGGCATGAAAGCAGAACAGAAGCTTGTAGAGAGAGAACTGACACAGAATACTAAAGTGTATGGACTAAGGAGTTTCATGTACATAGATTCACTTCCTATCCTCAAAGATTAATTATCAGCTGGTTGTAGATTCTTCCTGGACTCTGGGAGAGGACTATCGAGGGGCAGGACCCCCATAGACCCCGTTAGTCTGGCTCACTTCCTGCTGGGCATGCCATCTTTTCTTCCATGTCCTTCCATTTAACGGTGGAGAAGTCAAAGGTTTGTAAACAATTAATAGGCAGCTCAGGTTGTAGACCAGCTGCAAAGGTGCCTCCAGGCAGTGTGGTCTGTCGTCCAATGAGCTGCTTCAGGCAGTGACTGCACTCACAGGCTGAAAGGAGGTATCAGAATGATCTCAATGACATGCAGCCTGTGCACCAGGCCAGCCTGATAAATGTAGCCCTCACTCCTCATCAAAGAAGCTTCTTTTTGCAGCAGACAGAGATCATGACAGAAATCTACAACTCTCAAAATGCAGAGAACCACTGCCTACAGAGTGCCCAACTTCAGCTGACACATCTAAAACACAGCACCACATTTAAGGTTTGGGGGACATCAAGGAATATGGGGCATAAAGACTGTTAAGAGCCAGGGGACCAGGACATCTGCTGGGACACAGTGTCTTCTAGACGTGACAGGGCAAGTGCACCCATGAACTCTCAATGGTATGGCTGCCTAAACACAACTTGCAGAATGACAATACCAGTTGGCATGCCAATGTGGTTGGGGGAAACTTCCTAAGGGGAAGATCTACAGGCAACCAACGGCTGGGGGAGGAGAGAGCATCAGTTTTCTCTAGGGATTAGCTCCATGATAGGTTATCCAATCCCAAGCAGCAACCCTAAACATACACACATAGGAGCAACACTAGATGGGTTCAGTAGGTTTCCTGTGTGTGTATGCATGTGGGTCACAATAATTAAAGAAAAGGAGATCATGAATTTGAGAGGAAGTTGGGAAGGGGCATGGGAGGAATTGGAGAAGGAAGAGGGATGGGTGGAAAGTTTGTAAATATAATACATATGAAATTCTCAAAAGATAAAATATAAGCATTTGAAATTAATCCTTTACCAAAAAAAAAAAATAGAGAGAGAAAGAATGAAAGGAAACAGAGGGGAGAAATGGGGGGGGCGAGGAAAGGAGGGAAGGAGGAAGGTAGAAAGAGAGACAAGCAATTTCTTCTCCCATTCTCGATTGCCAGCTTTTGGCCCCACAGACGTCGAAGCAAACACTGCATCACCAAGTGCCCTCACCTGGCTGCAGCCTGTGGCTGTTTCCAAGTTCTCTGTAGTACAACATGTGCTTCACTATCAGTGGGATCAAAGCACCTGGCCGGGCCTTCCCTCCTGGCCCAAGCAAGCAAAGACAGCCTCCCTCTCCCTGCTCTGAACTCCCTGGGGAGGTCACATTGCAGGCTTGTGGTTTCCTCTCTAGTTGGAGTTTCCTCACAGAAGGGGCGATCTCGGTGCACTCACCAGTCAGGAAACAGGGACTGGCCACCCAGTCTTCGGCATACACCGCAAACTGGCTCAAGTATCTACTCTGCAAGTATCCGTTCATGGTGCAGAACAGGACTGCGCCAGCAAAGGAAAACAGCGGTGTAGCTTTCCCTCCTCGGATCAGGACCGGGAACACCAGAGTCCTTAGGAAACAAAAGCAAGGAGCAGACTTGAGACCTGGGGGGCTGTTTCCACACTGCTGCTTCACAGAATCTTTCCAGTTTGTTTTCTGGTATAGATGTCATTCTTGATGCACATTTGTGTGGATTTACTCTATTCTAAAATCAGGGGCTTTTAGCTAAAGAACCAACTGTGCTTCACTCATGTTTGTCAATCACAATATTCAGGATTCTAATTATACAGAGCACGAAACAGATACACTCACTTAGAGAAAAATGGACAAATTCCCCCTCTCCTAAAACTCTCTCCAAAGCAATCTGACACTTCTGGCACTTGTGGGACCCTGAAATCATGTGCACACATCCCCTACACAGACACAGACACAGACACACACACACACACACACACACACACACACACACACACACACATACACACACACACACACAATTTAAAATAATAAAAATAAATGAAAAAAATAAAAATTTTAAAAGAAAATATGCCTGTTGAAATACAGTTTACTGGTGGCTAGAGGGCTATTTTGGTTGGTGAATTACTTGTCTTACAAATGCAAGTATTTTAGTTTAATCCCCAGTACTGAGCTTTAAAAAAAAAAAAAAGTGAGCACTTACATTCCCAGCACTGAGGAGGTGGCAACAGCAGATGCTGGGTCTTGCTGATCAGTCAGCCTCACCTAATCAGGGCTCCAGGGATGCTCTAGTCTACATTTCCTTAGTGCCCAGTTTTTTCTTAAGTGGATTCTAGGAATCAACTCAGGGTCTTACGTTTACATAACAAGTGCTTTACCGCTTTACCAAATAAGCTAGCTCCCAGTGTGTTAATATTTAAAGCCATAGGACAGAGAACTTGTCATGGACAGACAGACAGACACACACACACACACACACACACACACACACACACACACACACAGCGTTTATATTTGTCCCTCTGTCCTTTGGAGACTGGTTTCAGGAGCCCTGAAAACAACTAAGTCATTGGATTTCAACTCATACACAACTGCATAGCATTTGCATAAAATACATGCCCCATTTATTATAGTTTTCTGAGGTCTTTGATGTAGTTGAAGACTAGATAGTTATAATTATGGTTTTCTTTGGTTATGATAAGACAAAAGGTATATATCAAACTTTAGACTCACAAATATAGGATAGATAGAATATTTTCTTTAAATTTACAAAATACAAACAGACTAGATATTGTAACTGTAATTCTCATTTGTTATACGTAATTTTACTGTGTTAAAGTTAAAACCTTCCTTTTCAATTAAACAGAAAGGAGGAAATGCAGTGGGATAATGCTTTTGTACACTTGTTTAATAAAATGCTGAGTGGCCAGTAGCTAGGCAGGAAGTATAGGTGGGACAAGCAGACAAGAATTCTGGGAAGAGGAAGACAGAGTGAGGAGATGCCAGCCTGCTGTCCAGGGAGCAGCATGTAATGGCACACAGGTAAAGCCACGGAATATGTGGCGACATATAGATGAACAAAAATGGGCTGAGTTTAAATATAAGAGCTAGTCAGTGGTAGGCCTGAGCTAATGGCCTAGCAGTTTTAATTAATATAAGCCTCTGTGTGTTTACTTGGGTCTGAGCGGCTGCGGACTGGGAGGGACACAGGAAAACTCCAGCTACACTCATTTTCTGTATACTTTCTAGATTACTCACAACCTAACCAAATGTAAACAGGTATTATGCTGTTTTCTTCGGGGAATGTTGACATAATAAAAACTCCACACTCACTCAATACGGATGTAATTTTTCTACGAATACTTTCAGTACATAAGTTGGTTGGATCTGGACAATGAACCAACAGTAATAAAGTACCAACTATCCTCAGCTTGTAGGAGATGTGGACACCGCCGATCTGAACAAAACCCAGCTTGTGTTCCAGCCTAGATCCAAAAGAAAGGTTTAAAAAGAGGGAAGAAAATTAAGAAGCTTTACACTACACAAAATAGGTGTGAAAATAAACAATCTGACCAAGACTTCTGGGCTAATGCTACAGATTCCCAAGGGTGAATGGCATGCTGGAGATGGGTACCCCTCTGTGGATGGCGACTTCCCCAGGAGGCTGGAGTCACAGAGCAACCTTTCATCACTTTAAGTTCAGTGTTATATTCAGCGGCCAATGCGAGCTGGGACTTTCTGAGTATGAAATGCCATCCTATGGACCTGTTCTTCTTGTTTGCTGAGTCTGATATCACTAGTCTGTCAGCCTAGGAAGGACATCACCTGTGAATGGCAATAAAATTAACCTTGAATCAAGAAAGCAGTGGAGGAGTGACTGGCTAACCCTCTCTCTCTACCTTCACAGATCAGAAAAAAACCCGTGAATCTTTCTTAGCCCATCCCTACTCTTTTCTGTGCCTTGTTAAATGCAGATTAATGTTCCTCCAGTCTCAGAAACAAACCATAAAGTAACGTATGCTTCTGAGAAAAATATTAAAAGAATTTTCAAGTATTATCAAGAACAGTCAACAACCATTCAGGTTGTACATAAGCAGGGCATAACAGCTATTGATCTTTCAAAGGTACCAATAGCCCTACCTTTAAAATGGTTAACTAACAAACCTGTCTGGATGGAATGATGGCCTTTGACATCAGAAAAATTACAGGCACTAGAACAGCTGGTTTAGGAGCAGCTAGTCACTCAACATATTAAAGAATCAACCAGTCCTTGGAATTCTCCTATATTTGTCATTAAAAAGAAATCTGGAAACTGGAGAATGGTAGTAGATCTGAGATCTATTAGTAAGGTGATCTTTACAGCCTGGAATTCCCTTGTCTCCTTTATTACCTAAAGAATGGTCTATTATAGTTATTTATTTAAAAGACTGCTTTTTTTTTTTTTACTATACCTTTACAAGAATCGGATAGAGAAAAGTTTGCCTTCACAGTGCCTACTTATATTCCCCAGTCTATTAAAAGGTATCAGTGGAAAATTCTTCCATAGGGAATATTAAACAGCCCACTTGTGTCAATGTTTTGTATGGTGATATTTTATTTGTGCTGAAATGTGATTTTATTTGTATGTTAATAAATAAAGTTGCCTGGGGGTCAGAGCTAATAGCAAGCCATAGCAGAGCTGGGCGTTGGTGGCGCACACCTTTAATCCCAGCTCTTGGGAGGCAGAGCTAGGCAGATCTCTGTGTGTTCAAGGATACAGCCAGCATGGAGACACACACCTTTAATCTCAATACCAACCATAGAAGACCTGGAGGTCTGTACAGACGGGCAGTGATGAGGAGGTCATGTGGTTGGGTTTACAACCAATGAGAAGGCAGAACAGAAAGTCTATATAAAGACAAACACACAGGAAGTAGGTCTCTCTTGGCTGAAGAGGATAGCTGCAACAGTGAAGGGTAAGGCTGTTAGCTCTGACCTCTTGGGCTTTCATCTCTGCATGGTCTCTGTGTTTCTTATTTAATAAGACGGTTACTTCTACATTTGGCACCCAACCCTGAGATTAAGAGTCTCATGCTCTACCGACTGAGTTCTTAACTCTGACCTCTTGGGCTTTCATCTTTGCATTGGCTCTGTGTTTCTTATTTAATAAGACTGTTACATCTACAGTTTTGTACAATAGTCATTAGAAATAATTCAGAAATAATTTCCTCAGTCTATAATTTACCATTATATGGATGATATCTTACTACCTGATTCAGATGCAGATACCTTAGGGAAAAAATGTTTGATGAAGTAAACAGAATTTTGCCTTGTTGGTAATTACAAATTGCTCCTGAAAAAATACAAAGAGGAGATTCTACTAATTACCTAGTACATAATATAGGTTTACAGAAAATTCAACCACAAAAAGTACAAATCAGGAGAGATAAGTTATGGATTCTTGGTGATTTTCAAAAATTGCTGGGAGCTGGTAACAGGTTACAGCCCACAATTGGATTAACAACCCAAGAACTAAGTAATTTATTTCAAATCCTATATGGTGATAAGGCCTTAAATAGTCCAAGAAAATTATCAGCTGAGGCTGAGAGAGAATTGGCTATGGTAGAAAAGAAATTATAGGATGTACATGTGGATTGCTTGGATTCACAGCTTGATTATATCCTGGTCATGCAACCTTCTACACATTCTCCCACAGGAATTCTTATGCAGGGAGAAGATAAGATCTTAGAATGGATATTTTTGCCACACAGAGTATAAAGAATTAAAGACCTATATAGAAAAAGTTTCTGAATTGATCCTCAAAGGAAAATTGAGTCTTCGTCAATTAGCAGGAAGAGACCCAGAAGAAATTGTGGTACTTTTTTACATGCTGAAATTGCCTCATTATGGGCAAAAAATGAACATTGGCAAAGAGCTTACAGTAATTTGGGGGGAGAGATTAGCAACAAATATACCAAAAGCAAGAGACTTCAGTTTATAAAAACAACTAATTGGATCCTTCCTCACATGGTATGAGGAAAACCAACTTTTGGAGCCCCTACATTCTATAATGATGCAAACAAATCAGGAAAGGCAGGTTAAAAGTCAAGAAAAATAAGTAAAGTAGATCAAAGGCCTTATTAGAATTCTGTTCAAAAGTCAGAATTACATATGATTCTCATGGCATTATTAGGTTTTCCAGAACCTCTTAATATAGTTACTGACTCTCAATATGCAGCAAGAGTTGTTTTACATATTGAAACTGCTGAACTTATTCCAGATGACTCAGAATTAACTTTGTTATTTATTCAACTACAAGAAGTAATCAGAAATAGAAATTATCCTTTGTGTATAACACATACCAGATCCAATACAGGTCTACCAGGTCCTTTGGCATAAGGTAATCATGAAACCTCAGAATTTCATAAGAAACATGATGTTAATAGCAAAGGTTTGAAGAAAGACTTTTCTATCACTTGGCAACAAGCCGAGAAAATTATAAGTAAATGTCCTACTTGTTCTTTGTAGTATAAACTCCATTACCTGCAGGAAGAAATGGATGTGTTTCATTTGGAAAATTATGTGCACCATACTATAGATATACATTCAGGATTT